GTATTTCCAAGAAGAGAGATTACAAATTCAAAGTGGGATATATGGCCACTATGATCTAACTTGCTCTTACAAAACAATGACCATTTTGATCCTCACAATTAAGAGGCTAATCCTCCACAATCTCCATTAACAAAGCATTAGTAGGTTAAGTTTCATGTTTCTTTGATTGGTGAGGGAGACACATCTTTATAGTACTCTAAAAAAAAATGATGTCTCTTTGTTAGAGTGAATTAGTGCATCAACTCTAGGATTAGAATGCATATAATGAATTGGAAAGGTAACTTAGCCATATCTCTGGCGAAAGTGTGCACATGAGTTACTTAAGAGAATCATTCAAAAATTTATTGGAAAATCCTAGTTAGATGATTCTTCATATGTTGAAGTTGGTATAAGTTGACATAATCATTATGGTAATTGTTGCATAACAATTGTTTTTCAAGTCACTCCATATTATGGTTCCTTATCTTAGCCAGGTTTGTAAGCGAACCAATATGCTTGATAAACAACTAAAATTCTACTCAAATAATACTCTTCAATTTTACTAATGTAATAAGATTAAGTCCAACAGGAATAGCTACTTTTGATAGAACCCAGGTGGATTGTCCCCAAGTTGATGACATTTTTACATTCTTCCAATAGATAGCAAAAGCTCTTTCGGTCGATTCAATGATTTGAATCCATGCATGGAAGGTCAGGCGGGATAGAAATCGGGAAGAAGCCCGATCGGGCTAGAGGCGGAGGCGTCCGAGAGATCGACAGCGGAAAAGGAAACTATCGCCTTTCACTTGTCTAAGTGAAACTATCGCCTTTCCTGCTTGTGGGACTGCGTTTGGTTGAAAAAATAATATTGAAACAATTCAAAATATGTATTTATGTTCACGAAACAACTTATTTGTTAAGTAACATGTTTGATGCTATGTTATCCCCGATGATAGCCCATATATTATTCAATTAAAATTTGATTAAATATAACTTATTTAATACACACACATTCATATTTTATTTCAATTATCTTTGTTTTAAATCTCTCCCCTCCCCCCACTTTCTTCAGTTTATGAGAGTTACGCCTATATAAGCGTGTCATCGGGTTTGGATAATGGTCACACTTGTTTCTTATGTGTAATATGGTGCTAATCACTTTCATAAATTTGAAATATAGTTTACATGAAAAAATGACATCATGAACATAAATATTGTGATTGTATGATGTTTAATATTAGGTATGTATAATGCTACATCTCAATATTTTCATTGTTCACTCAACCTAGCTATAACTATTACAAAGTTATTTGTACATAATAATGTATACTATACAACAACAACAAGCCTTTATCCCACTAAGTGGGGTCGGCTATATGAATCCTTTTTCTGCATTGTGTTCTCATAAGAGTAAAATTCTCATCTAAATCTACTAAAGAAAGGTAATTTCAAATATTTTCTAACCAAGTCTTTTTAGGTCATCTATCATAGTATATAATAATGTATACTATGAAATGACAAATTTATTTATAATGGTTTTTTATGTTTACAAATAGTATCAATTATAGTATGTTTAATTTAATTATCTTTTAAATGATGTTGTTAATATTGATTTATTTTAAGAGCAATTTTAATTTGATAAATACTAAATTGAAATAATAAATTTTAAATGATTGTTTTTCCTTCTTTAATGAGTTCTAATGCTTTTTATCCATATAAATATTTATGATTATTTCTAAGCTTTTTTATTTTATTCTCAAATTAATTAATCTATGATATTAATTTGATATTCTAATGTTTTTTTAGAAATTATGAGTTGACCATAACCTGGATTTTTTCGGGTCGTGTCAAAAATTGACACCCCTAGTAGAATGCATGAAGACCCTAGTACTATGAAGTAGGATTGCGCCAAGGAAGAGAGATAGAGAGAGAGAGAGAGAGAGAGAGAGAGAGAGAGAGAGAGAGAGAGAGTTCATATATTCTGTTTATTGCTTTAGGTTTATGTTGGACTCAATTAATCCAAGAAAAAGTGTGAGTTTGACCAAGCTAAGAGAGAATAGTGAGTGAGAGAATATGAAATTTTCTACAGGCATAGTTACATCGAAATGCACATAGTTAAGTAATACCAAACTTAATCTTATTCCCTATTTATAAGTTAGGGTTAAGGTTGGATGTACAACAAAGACTATATGATATAATAATAGTTTGCAATAGAAAATTTGTAGTGATATGGTAAGGAAAATTTTTATCTTAACTTTACATGAAGATCCAACGTACAAATAGATGAATGAAAGAGCATGAATAATATAAGAGATTTTATGTAGAAAATCTAACAAAGTGAAAAATCATGGGGCTTTGCCAAACTAAAATGATTTTATTCAGTGAGTTTTAATTATAATACTTGCTCGATCATCCATTAACTTAGAAACGAAAAAATTAAAAGATCTTAGAAAATTGGTAGAGACCTTTCAGACGTTTGATGTTGAGTGACAATAGGTCTGACGGCTGCGGTTTGGGTGGCGGAGGTCCGAAGGCTATGGTTCCAACAACGGAGGTCTGACGATAGCAATCAGTGGACGAATGTTTGAAAACAACAATCTGGCGATGAAATTCCAATGATGGCAATAGAGTGATGAAGGTTTGGAGGCATGGGTGCTTGAGTGCAGTCCTAGGATTCTTCAAGCCCTTAAAAGTTTTAGAATTTCTAGGCAAATGCCCTCTTTAGGAACTGAGCGGGCACCTATTTTGAAATGTTTTGGAGTGGCATACCCCATAAAGTTGGAGAAAACCTGGAGCATTCCATTGAACAATTTATATTGATTCACTCGATCATAGATTATTTCTTCAGCATTTAAGTGCCTTAATGACGCATGATTAAGTGATATTGGGCACACTAGATTGGTCTCATCAAGCCGCTCGATTCAACTATAAGCATACTCAATTTGGAGACAATATTGCCACCCAATTAATGTCTTGAAGTTTTTAATTACACTTCATACCCTTGATTTGAGCTCATTCGGGCTCAAATTTGACCCATCTTGATATCCTTGAGTTTGTCTTGTTGAGACATCCAGTTAAACTATAACATTTTTTATATTGGAATTTAAATAGTCCTAAATTTAATTTTGAAAGTTTTCAAATATAATATACCTTGAGATTCACCGATGCCATTTTCGATGACATATCAATTATAAAAGGTGTACATGATTAAACTCGACCAAACTTTTTGTATAATAGATAAATCTGGCTGATAATTGCCCGTCAAATAAGAACTATGGGCAAGTTCCAGCTTACGGGGGAGAGTAAACTTGACGTTTTTATTTTTATTTTTTCAATCTTGAAACACTAATCGGTTCATAAAATACTCTAGGTGAGTAACTTCTACTGTCTGGCTTGATAAATTGTGATTTTGGGTGAGTTCAATGGACTAAGTACTAAGTATTAAGAAAGATCTACATATTGGCTGATTGAGGGACTATTTGATTAGTTGAAAAAGAAATCCAACCTAAAAGACATATATTGTATTTGAAATGATTTGGAGTTTATTTGAATCAGAGTAAATTAAATACATATAATTATTTTGTTTATTTAGCATGAAGTAAAATTCAAAGATGAGGATCATCAGTGGCCTTTAGTAGTGGTACTGTGGTAGTCGTCGACAACAGGGTCGGTGTTGACCTACAAGGGTAGCTAGCAGCGGCTGCTGCTTGGGGGTCACTGATAGTGGTGGGTAACAAAATTCTTGTATTTAGAATACTTTACACTCATTTTACTTCAAATCAAATAACCTCTTTGTAATATTGGATAAGTTGAGAGTAGATCATCGATGATTTGCCATATTGAATATGAGTTGATTCATAACTAGCTATGTGCTAAGTCGAACACATAGTACTTTGATTTGACGAATTTAATTGAGTGCACAAAAAAAGCCTCACTTTTTTTTGAATATTTAAGTCAATTAGAACAAATTCTTAAACACATCACATATATAAAATTTAAATCTAACATTTCATATTAGATAGCTAAAAACAATCTACCTTATTCAAAGGAGAGATTATTTTGTGCCGACATAGGACGGCAGAAATATCCGGTTTATGCTCACCGCTAGCTATAAATTAGATAACCGATATGTCCCAAAAAAAAGATGACCGACGTGACAGATTTTCATTAGGGTTTGCTTGGTGAGAATAATTTTTCTCTGAAGGCCTCCGTTCTTTCAAAAAGTTGTTTGCTCGAACACGCACTTTCATAGTTTTATTTTGCGGGCTGGCAGCGTACCAACTGCGCAAAAAGTCGAATACCTGCGGCGCACCGGTGCTCACTGTGAATCGGGCGATTCTGCGTGCTTTCAGCCGCTTCGGCATTTTATATTATATTCTCATTAGAGAATTAATGCTCAAGAAGTAGTAGCAGAAGAAGAAGGCTGAACGACATTTCATTGAGAATTTGTGGCGTCTCTCTTCATCTACTCTGGTGTGGTTTATTGATCTTTAGAGATGGCAGGGAAGCAGAAGAGCCAAGAGCCATGCAAGAAGGAGGCCTGCGATATCCAGTCATGTCTTACCAAGAACAACTTCAACCCTCAGAGGTATTGGCAATCTCGTTGCCACCACGCACTTTATTTTTTGCCTGGCTTGTTTTCTTATTGATATCTACATGGATTTCTCCCGAGTGAATCGGGCTTTCAAGCTTGCCGGGACGGAGGCGTGCCCCGTCGCCCATTTTCTTCAATTACTTTATTATTATTATTATATCTTTTGTGTGTGAGATCGATGTATGCGGTGGGTTTAGCTCGGGCTTTTCATAATGGTAGAGAAGCAACCCATCTCACCCAGCGAAGTGGTGATATCTCTTCATTGTATATGTGCTAAATATAATTGGTATTCTCACGCTGGAGGGGTGGGAGATCCTACGGAAGTCTTCACGGAGTTGGTTTGGGTGTTTTAGTTGAAGATGTTGGGTCTTCAAAGTGCATTTAGGGTTTCAATCTAGCTTTCCCCGTGATATGGATTAAGGTGGAAGGATTGTGGAAATTTATTATCTTGGGTTGGAGTTTGAACTGTCACGTGATTGCACAAAGAGGGAAGGAGTGTGGAATTTTGAGATATTGGGTGAGAGCTTTTGAGCTGAATTGGGAGATATTTTTAACTCTGGAAGGAAATTCATATTTCACGAATTTCCTCTATGGTGGAAGAGAGGAGACATCTGTCTAATGATCAAGATTAGTAATAATTATTTGCATGTTGGGTGGCAAATATGTTTTTTATGAAGTCGTTATATGAGCCCTGTGCTCAGCAAGTGTGCAGTGTGTCATGGCCAGAATTATTTGCTGGAATTTTCTGTAGATTAAAGGAATTGAATGGCTACATTGAAGTGATTACTACTTAATGTGTTTTAATTTAATCGAATTTGAGTGACTGTTGTATAATATAACTTATGATTCACTTAGACTTAGATTTTAAAGGGAGCATTAATTTTGATTAGGATAGGGCAAATGACATCTTGATATTGTATCATGGTTATGATTCATGTAGATTTGAAAGTGAGCATTAATTTTGATTAGGAAAGGGCAAATGCCATCTTGATTTTATATTTTGGTTAGTTTAAGGAGCATATAAGGTCTAACAATTTCTGCCATTCAGAATGAAATCAGAACTATTTGTTTTGATGAAAATATTCTGCAGTGTAAACACTATTCCTACGGATTAAATGTGATTAAATGGATTGCATTAAATGTTAGGATTTTTGGAAGGGAACTGAGTTAATTTGAAGTAAAATTGACAACTCTGTAGCAAAACAAATAAACAAGTAGTCAGGTAATGATCATGTTGCAGCAAACATAATAATTTCATACAAACAATGTTTCGATTAAGCGAGGGTGGACCTGTTAGATCATGATCAAAATTGGAATGGGAACAAGAAAAGTGGGTTGGGAGAAGCGGCATGCTGTGACCTTACATGAAAGTTTTAACAATTTTGCATTGGTTGGCTCTAAAATGCCCTTTTGTTTATTGCGGATAATTTCACTGCATAGAACTCTGAAATTGCCCTACTATTGTGTGAGGTATTTTTTGAAATTGAATGTTGAAATGTTATCTGATTTCAAGTTAATCAGTTTTTTTTTTATTGAATTTTTTATACAGGTGCTTGAAAGTCATTGAGATGTTGCAGGCATGCTGTGAGAATTGTAGCTATAACTCAACACACTGTGCTTCTTTATCCGAGCTTTTGAAGACTCGTAAGAAATCAAAATGAAAAGAAGTTCCAGCAATTATAGATACTTCTAACATCGAGCTCAGTAAGCAGCAAATGCTTAGGGTACAATAATGTAACTCTTGCCATAAATACCTCAGCAAATATCCAGCTACTTTGTACTAGAACATGCAATGAATATTAAAAGAGATCTTTTATGTAACAAACATTAAGTAATCGTGAGAATTCTGTCTATTTTGAGCGAGAATATTCATTTTGAATTATTTAGGCTGTCATATCTTTATACATGAAAGCATCATTATTATTTTATATCAATAAATTCAGCTCAGGTTTTCCAGGTTTTTATTGATAAGGAATATTTCTTATGCTAGGATACATCTTTATTTGTTCTTAACCCCATTCCTTAGCATGTGTGTATCAAGATTTGTGCCTGAAAGTATATTGGCTATCAGTTCGTATATAACATGGTTTTGTTGTTATTCTTGGGGTCTGGTTCTGTAATTAAATTTTATGCTTATTCTGTATATTCAACTTTGTATCATATTAGTATTGTGTATTTTAATGAATCTTATTATAGGAAAATATTTTGTGGATTGTTCAATTGAGATCCAAAGAACTTTTAAATAAAATTTTATAGGCCAACACTTACCTAAGTTGACACACACACACACACACACACACACATACATATATATATCTCCAACTTGCTACACAAACAATAGAGTGGTATATAACAAAGTGTTGGCTAATGACAATCAACTTCATTATGTTTAGTTCGTTCATAATGAAAGGCGAGATGAAGGCGTGATTGTCAGATCATAACTTCATAAGTTGAGTGAGGGAAAAATAAAAAAATTCTAAATAAGTTTTAACACATATCATTTCACATGCAAAGTGGGCATAGTTATATTGGTTCTCAGCACTGGATTAGCAACAACAACAACAACAACAAAAATCAAGCCTTTATCCCACTACGTGAGGTCGGCTACATGAATCTTTTTTCTCCATTGTGTTCTATTAAGAGTCAAATTTTCATTTAAATATAATAAAAATAGTCATTTATAATATTTAATAACCAAGTCTTTTTAGGTTTACCTCTACCTTTATTAACATAGGACAAATCTAATACATCCACTCTTCTAATCGGGTCATCAGAAAGTTGACGTTTTATGTGACCAAACCATGTAAGGCAAATCTCTGTAATCTTTTCTGCCACTGGAGCTATTCAAACCTTTTCACGTATATACCCGTTTCACATTCAATTTCTAAGAGTTAAGCCACTCATCCACCTAAGCATCCTCATCTTTGCAACACTTAATTTTATGCTTGTCTTTTAATGGCCAACATTCTGCATCATAAAGCGTTACAAGTCTCGCTACCATCTTATAGAATTTTCGCATTAAGTTTGAGGTGTACTTTTCTATCACACAACAGGTCCGATGCATTTCTCCACTTAAACCATCCAACTTGAATTCTACTAATAATATTCCCATTTATTTCACCATCACTTTGAACAATAGACCCTAGATATCTAAAACATGTACTCTTGTTGATGACTTGATCGCCCAAAGTCACAGTTCTCCTACTAGATCTATTACTATTAAAATTATACTCAATGTATTCAATTTTATATCTACTCAAACAAAAACCTTTAAAATTAACACATGTACTCTTGTTGACCTCCATAGTTCAAGTTTATCTTCTACTCCCTCTCTAGTCTTATCAACAAGGAGAATATCATCAACAAAAAGCATACACTATGGTGTACATCCTCTTGCAAATGTCTAGTAAGAACATCCATGACTAGAGCAAAAAAATATGGCTTAAAGTTGATTCTTGATGTAATTCAACTGAAATAGAAAAATACTGGGTAAAACCACAATGTGTTTGAACACAAGTAACAGCTCCTACATGCATATCCTTAATGGGTTAAATATTAACCCCTTTCTTTTCAAGAACTCTTCAGAGCACTTCTCTTGAAACTTTATTATAGCTTTCTCTAAATCAATAAATATCATATGCAGATTAGCCAAGTTAACTCAATAGAGACAAATGAACTTTATCAGCATTGAATTAGCCTCAATAACTTATTTATTTATTTCTTTTCAAGGTGGCCAAGTTATCTCAAATAAAGATACAATACCTAACGTTTTACTCACATCTTTAATTAAGCTAATATAATCAACAAATGCTTCAACATTTGTAAGCCCAATTTTTGTATATTGCAACGCTCTTTTTAGGAAACTTTTTGCTATACCTAAGAATTCACATAATAACCTTCTAATGCTTTTATTTTAGAGTTTGCATATGCTGTCCAATAACTCCAATGGCGAGTGCAATGTCAAGTATGGTAACTAATAGATAAATCAAAATTTTAACTAGCTTTACATATTAAGACAAATCTTCCAGGCACTCCTTGTTATTAAACATGGTAGAAGTCTTTAGGTGTATCTACTAACTTGCAATTAAGAAGACCAATTTCTTCAAGACATTCAATGGCATATTTTCACTGAGATAGTGATACCTCTTTTCATTGTAAGTAAATTTAACCTTAAGAAAGCATTTTGGCCGCCATAGATCTTTTGTGGCAAAACACTTTTGAAAATAATGTTTAAACAAAAAAAAGGCCATCACATCAACATGAGTTGTCATCAATATAAATAACTAGTATGATAAATCCTGAAGGTATATGCATGTTAAAGGTAAAATAATCTATATGGTGCAACTGCGGAGAAAACATTTATCAGGATTTTGTAGAATATGTCAATTATAGCTTGTGAACTCTTTAAGTCCTTAGATAGTTTGTATTAGCTATCCTCTCAAGCAACATATCCTGGAGGTTGCTCCGATACATTTTTATTTAGTTCAACATAAAGGAAGGAATTATTCATATATGTTCATAACATAGTCCATCCTCGATTGATAGACAAAGTTAAAAGGATTTTGACAAAGTTGAGTATTGCAACTGGAGAGAGGTATCAATGAAGTCAATCCATCTGTATCAATCGATTAAGCTATCTATGTGAAATTTAATAGTGAACACCCATCAACGGACAATTGATTTAACCTCAGGAGAGGGACAACCAAATCACATGTGTGATGACTAAGTAAAACATCTATTTCAGAATCAATAGCTTTTTTTTTATTAAGAATCGTTCAACACTTCCTATTATGTTCTAGAAATAGAGACAAATGACTAAAGTCAAGTCAAAAATATTTGTAAGGATGGTGATGAATAATTAAATGATGTATAAGGATGAATAAGATGAGCACTATGATGCCTTTACCCTTCTATAGTGCAATAATCAAATGTAGATTAAAGAGCTGATCGTTGGGTGGATGCTCAGTCGAATATGACAATGTGGTTAAAGGTGCTGTTATTTAGGGAAGTTAAGGTTATCAAGAGTAAACCTATACAGGGTTCATAATACATATACAAGCTTTTGGAGGAAGTGGAACATGCATATTTGTCAACGGCGAATGGTGTAACACAACGAATAATGCACGGCGCGGCACGCACCATTTTGAATACGATGCAAAATAAAAAAGAATTATAAAAATCTTTATATGGATCCTATTTTAGAGTATCAATCAGATTGGGTAAGGCTTGGTTGAATATGTTTGTGGTCCCACATAGTGAGAGTAGAGAATTTGACTAAAATAAAGTCTAAATAAACTATAATAAAAACTAACTAAATTATTTTGATTACAACAACAACAACATCAAGCCTTTATCCCACTATGTGGGGTCAGCTACATGAATTCTTTTTCTCCATTGTGTCCTATTAAAAGTCAAATTCTCGTTTAAATCTAATAAAGAAAGGTCATTCATAATATTTTCTAACCAAGTCTTTTTAGGTCTGCCTCTGCCTTTCTTAACATAAGTCAAATCTAATACCTCTACTCTCCTTACCGGGTCATCGGAAGGCTGCCGTTTTATGTGACCAAACCATCTAAGGCGACTCTCTCTAATCTTATCTTCTACTAGAGCTAGTCCAACATTTTAACTAAATTATTTTAATTGTAACAAATAATTTTAAAATTAATTATTATATTATTTTAGAAATTAAAATATATAAATATTAAGAACTATTTATAATTATATTAAAAATCTCTAAAATTTAAATCGCGTGTGTCGTGCGCCATTGTGGGCGCTGTGGCGCAAATGATGCGCACGCCAACTTGAACATGTGCTCCGCGCCATTAACATGTATGGGAACATGTGGTGAAAATATCTCATAAATGAGAGAGGGTGTAGTCTCATGAATGATTACATCAGGTAAAGTGTTAAAATGATGAGTAAGAGGACTATAGCTCCATTAACTTTTCTGACCATGAGAATACTTGAAAATATCTATTGAATGTAATGACAAGAGAGTTGTCATGAGCAAAAATATGAACAAATCATATAATACAATTATACAAAATATCTTTGGTGTAATTTTTTAACAGGGATCTAGAGTGTAGATGGGTGAGATATTATCAAAGAGAGGGGAAAGGGTACTATTGATGAGATAACATGCTATCATGACTACATCCACCTATAATCAGTGAAGAACATTCATATAAAACATCAATGTCCTTGCAACATCAAGAAGATGACTGCTTTTGCATTCAACATCATTTTATTGAGACATGTATGGTTAGTAAGTTTCATGAATAACACTATTTGTAAAGCAAGGTGCGAAATTGAGATTGCATGAATTCTAAAATTAGGAGTGCATAAAGTTTTAATTAAGTTGGAAAACTAAATTTTCATTTCTTGATAAAAAATTAAATATTTAAAAGATCTTTTTTTGATATTTGATCGAGTAATCCAAATGACTTGTGAATAATCATCAATAAATCTGACAAAATAATGAAATCTTAGGTTAGTGAGGACATGACTAGGAGTCTCAATGTTTGGGTGAACTAACTCAAAAGGAAGAGATTGATGACTAGTGGTAGAAGAAAGAAAAGATGCACGGTAATGTTTACCCAACTCTCAAGTATGAAGGTCAAACTTGGATAGAGAAAAAAGCCAAACACAAAATCCTTTAGTTTGCTGAGAGGAGAATAGTTTAGTCAACAATACCATTGAAGTTGAGCAATAATGGAGGAGAAGGTGTTGGGAATATTAGATATAAAGTTGTAGATTTCGTCAGTTCAACATCTTTACCAATCATTTATTTCAAGCTGAGATTATGAAAAATACAATGAAAGAGGCAAAAAGGTTGTAAAACAAATTTGAGTTTTTTTTTGTAACAAAGTGAATA